CAGCTTCTCGTTACCAAAGCGGGATGCCGAGCAACTACTTCCAAGGTTTGTTTTGGACTCATTGCAAGCCAGTCGGCACGACGACGTGAGACTTGGATTACAAAGCCTTTCCAAGGCAGGAGTCTGCTTACCCAAGCACATATAGACACTTTGAGTGCTATCGATTCTCAGGAATCTAGAGGCACCGCCTCAAGCTCCACAGCAATCCAAGTTGCATCCAATGTCCAAACCACCCAAGCCAGCTTTGGCTACAACAAGTACAAGTCCTGCCCCAGCTAGCTCACAGGAGTGTGCCAACAGTGACAGCAGGAGTGGTATTGATAAGTTGTACCCACCAAAAACCAAAGTCTCAAACCTTTTTCAACCTTCCTTTGAATTTACGATCGATCTATCCAGATTGACACACCAGATCGACTGACAAGAAACGATCATGCCAGATCGAATGACACGAAGCGACGAATCACAAGCAGCACCACGAGATCGATTCAGTTTGACTCTCGGGATCGACTCAGAAGATCCATCATAGAGATTGCAAGTCTGACACAAAGCCTATCAAGGCAGAGCAAGCTTACTCAAGCAAGGGTAGCCACACACAAGTGCTACCGGGATATCTTCTGCAGAGGATTCCCACAGTTCCACAGGAACAGTTCCACCAATGGAACAAGCTCAAAGCAAGCAACAGTTCGACGGAAAGCCACAAGTTGCCAGCACCCATCTACAAGATGTTCAAAAACCCCCAAAGGCCACACAACAAAACATTCCAAAGGGCACCCCCCAAAACATTCCATTGTTAACCAACAAGTCGACAGCCATTCGATTCCGAAAGAAGAGGATGGCCGTGATGAAGAAGAAACTTCCCCAGCTGGGAAGAAGAGGATTCCATTCTCTCTGGAAAAGACAACAAGCAGGACATCCAACACTTCTTGGACATCCCAACAAGAGAGACATCTCACGTTCCATTCCAATGACAACAAGCTGACTCCAGATAGCTACCAAGCTATTGCACAGACTCATGCTCACCTGATTCCAAATCCAGTATCAAGCCTGAATGGATTGATGTTCCACACATCATTGGCGATTGAGACCATGGCATATCAATGTCCAGTTCAGTCTACACCGCCAGTCAAGAGCACAGTCTGAGTCTACGCGAATGCAGCCGGATCTTCCTAGTTTCCTGCTACAGCAATACCAAGTGACCGTAACTTCCCAGTCCACGGTTCAACAAGTGATCGGAACTTCCCAGTTTCGAATACAGCAACATCAAGTGACGGCACCAACCGCCACAGCAAGTCATACAGGAGTGGCAACACTCACAGGAGTGGTAGCCACAATGGCTTTTCATGACGACACTGTCCACATGTCCACATTGACTGTGACAGATTTGTCAGCACTGCTATGGATGACAAGCTTCTCGCCACCAAGCGGAATGCCGAGCAACCTAGCAAATGGTCTCTCGACCAACAACTGTTCCTTATGGAGCAACCATCATTACATTAATTATTCGTTCCACGGTATCCTTTATGGAACCGTGCAGGAGTGTGTTGGAGGTTGTATTACAGACACCTCAATACAAATTAGTCGTTTATCCCAATCTAGTTGATAGGGGATATCTATATCTATTCTCTAGTTACATACATGGGGAGTTTAACTGATCTATCTGGTCACCCCCTTCACTATATCCTTTGAAGTTGAATCAATCCCAGAAAACATGGAGAAAAATCACTTCTTGGAAATAGCTTAACAGTAAAACAGTATTTTACCTTTACTAAGCTAGAGTGTTACTAGCAACCAACAAATAGAACAAAGAAACAAGCTTCCGCCCTCACCATGGATTTCTGTGAAGAGGTGACCAAAGCTGTCAATTCACCAGGCTTCGCTGAGAAACACAAGGGGAAAGGGGCACCATTAGCCATGCTTGCTTTTGCCAGTCAAATTGCCAACAAGATTCTCCGCTCAAAGAATTACCCAATGACACAACAGCTTGTCCATGGAATAACAGTTGTTGTTCCAGAATCATCCCTTTCCATGACTTCGCCTCACTACCATTCCATAGTTGGCCAGAAGCTACTACTGGTTGACTGGCAGCGGCTTGGAGTGGCAGTTCCTTGTCCCGATGCTTCCTGTCATGGACATCTTCACAACACCAGACACAACTTGTCGAAGAATCAGACTTTGTTCCCCATCTATTGTCTTGAAGGCAACGCCATGTGGTGCATTGTCCAATCGATGGTGTGCAATACTTGTAAGAGAAGGTTCGATGCCAATGATGCAGAGGTTTTGGTTGCCATACCACCGTATGCATCCAACCTTTATCCAGTTGAAACCAAATTCGCTTTGAAAAAGAACAGCCACCTCTCCAGAACAGCAACTCAAGTTATGAGTTCGCTTATGCTAACCTATGGTAATGGCGAAATGTGCAGTAAGCTGCTGTACAATGCAATCAATCAAGACTATCTGCAGAAAATCACCTCTTATTACTCGCTTATGAAGAAACTACCCGACGACTTCCAGCGCCGTCCATACATCCGGAAAGATGGTGTATTCATGCGACAATACCTGCCTCTTGGAGAGACCATTCGAGACTTCTTTGATGAGGCTTCTTCAACACAGAACAATCCTTGGGGCATCAGTGACAATGAGAGGCACACAAGAGAAATCCAAAGTGTTGAGTGTCACCAGGGAATCTTCGCCCAGGACCACACCTTTCAAGTAGTAAAGAATTACCAGAAGAGTTTGGGTGCAGTGGCGGTATGGGGTTGTGCGACTTCCACTGGAGAGATTGCATGTGCTGTTCTGGTTCCTTCCACCAAGGGTATTCACCATTACACGCTTCGAAATTGCTTTCGAGAAGACCACACTTTACACCGAAAGCAATGTACAGCGATACTTGGCCAAATGGACAATCTTACTGGCATTCCCTGTTTCCAGATCTCGAAGGAAGATTGGGCCTGTTTCATTTTGAAAAAAGGATTATTAGCACGATGCGCAAAGGACACATTGACTACGGTGAAGCACTTACTGGTTTGTTCAATTGCCTGTACATGTATCACGAGGGGGACTATGACAAGCTCATTACAGCCCTCAAGGATGGTTCGCTTTCTCCAAATGGCCGATGTTACTCTTCCGAAGACATCAGTGATCTCCAAGCATCCCGTTGTTTTCGAAGACGCTATGCCAAATACCTCCGAAAAAAGCTGCGTCCAGCGGCAACCATGATCCAGCGACTTGACACTTGGTTTTGTCGCTACAAGGTAACGTCTTCTGATGATGTCAGGCGACCAGCACGAGGACGTCTTGATCCAGTGAAGAAACTGTCTTTATTCACCTCCGAAACCAAGAATGCTGTAGAAAATTGCAAAGAAAAAGCTCATCATTTAGCTGATCCAATGACGATAGAAGACATGTACGACGCAATTGCTCCATCACCATCCTCCCGACACAAACTCACCGAGTACCTTTCAAAGCGAGGAGAATCGAAACTGGAAGCTTTTCATGACAGATTCGCACACTTTGCTAATAGTGGGATGCGGCGCTCTCTTGCTGATGCTCTCAACCTTTGTGGAACTGCAAGATACAACATGTTGATTAGACATCGACGAGGGTTGATAGCATTGGATCCACAGGAACGGACCTTACCGGTTGGTTGGGAACGAGTGGTGCCCTATTGGAACCACACCGAGCTTGTGTACATCAATACCATCGCCAAGGATAATGGAATGCCACTACCTTTTCCAAGAGCTGAGAAGCTACCTGCTGACAATGGCGAAAGATTCTTTGCTGAGTACATCACAACTGTCAAGCCACACCGGCAAAAATACGATGCAATTGGCCATTGCCTCTGCGATATATGCCAAATGATTGCTCCACCGGTTGCTCCCCCGGTCACTCCACCATCGCTGACACCTCCAAATTCGAATTCAAATAATGTTTCCCCACAACGACCAATGGATGCATCTCCAATTAGAGAGGTCTACCTAAATGACAATAGCAACGTTGATCGCCAAGGAACCAGTCAGCCAGTCGAGCCTTCAGTAGTGACAACAACAACAACAACAACAACAACAACAACAGCAACAACCGCGGCACCACCAGGATTTGCACCGATCTTACCTGCTCCACCAGCACCAGCACCCGCAGCACCAACAACATTCTATTGGCAATATCCGATCCTTCCACTTGGGTATTATCTTCCTCCTGCTCTAACAAATGGATGCTGTGCTCCCTATTGCAATTGGATGCTTAATAGAAGAGGACGGCCACCGCATGCAGTTGGCTGTGTCCATCGTTTGCATGGCTACTCAATGAATGGGTAGCAATAACAATATAATGAAATTTTCTGCGATTTGATTCAGTTGGGATGGGCCGACTCAGAGTAGAACCAGAAAGGAATTCTCGGGGTTTGAATTTGGAGCATGTGAGCATCCAGCGATGAGAATTCGCACCTCTGTGCTGACACTTCGAGTGCCGGTTGTTAACAAATCCACCCCTCCTTCCCCCCTGGCATTGCCCTTGCCCCTCATCTCATAAGTAAATAGTGACGTCTGCAGATGAATGACGTGGGAATCAGGAATCTGAACCCTACTCCTCCTCTCTCTTTCTCCTCTCTTTCCCCCTCCCGAGTGCCTAACCCCCCCTAAAAATTTTCAGGCGGTTTTCACAGACAAGAGGCAATATCCTTCCACGAATGATTCAGATTCGATAGAACTTTCCAGAATCGAATCAAATCAAAGTGACGGAAACCCACAAGTAGCAAGAGGCAAGAAGCTTGAGAAGTCTGCAAAGTCGAAGGATTCATGACGGTGTCTTCCGAAAGATGAGGGATCCCAGAAATGGAATCGACACTTGGCAGATATAAGAATGAGAAAGAGTTGACATCCCGCTTCTTTGCCAGCGCATCATCATTGCTGTGATATTACATGACTTTTGACGTTTCATAAATTTGCTTCTGCGAAAAGAGAACAGACACACAGAAAACAAGAAATCAAATATCAAGAAGCAACATGAAGTTATCATCGAACCCGTCCATCGCTGTTGCCTTGGCCTTGATGGCCGGTACACCCTTGCATGCCTTCACACCTCGGGCTCCCCTTACTGTCGACACCAGGGCTGGATTGCATGGTTCTATGAAGCAACCATTGGCTGCACCCCTTTGGGACACCGTCCAACCAGACCATGACGACAGCCAAAATCAGAACGAGAAAGGAAAGAGCACGGATCCCACTCCCGCGCTTTTCAACTTTTTCCAAGACTCCAATCAGCGTAATGCAGCTGTGGCAACTGCTGCCTTGGTCACTGCCTTGTCCATGGCACCCATGTCATCTGACGCTGCCATACGGGAGGCCGCATTGGCGGAGCCTCGTTTTCGTCTCGCCCTGCAATGTCTCGCCCGGCACCCAGTGCTTCAAGGGGATACTACTCGGGGGGATACTACTCGAGACCAACTGTAATCGCTCCCATGCCATTTGTGGCGCCCATTTCACCCTTCTACAGCCCCTACCGCTACGGAGCTCCCGGAGTCATCTCTTATAGTCGAGGTCCGGGAATCCTTCCACTCTTGGTGTTGGGTGGAATGGCCCTTACTGTGAGCAACGCCATTGGCAATACTTTCTCGCGTGGGGCATCATTCTTTGAAGAACGAGAGACGGACAGCGTCTTGGGCGGCGGAACCAGTGTCCTCAAGCTCAGCGTGGCCATCTCTGTGGCCGACCGGGACGATCCCAATTCCATTTTGAAGGTCCTTGAACGCTTAGCAGATACGGCCAAAACCGATAGCAGAGTTGGTATCCAAAACCTATCCAGCCAGATTGCGGTCGAACTGCTTAGGAGAAAAGCATCGGTGGTTGCTGGCGCTACGGACTACCAGCACTACCGCAACCGCGACAAAGCCCAGAGAGCCTTCAACAGCCTTTCTGTCGAAGAGCGAGGTAAGTTTGAACAGGAGACCATTAGCAAGTTTGGAGGTGTGGACTATGCCAGCAACAGTCGCGTCCAAAGCTTTGGCGCAGCAGACGGCAGCAAGGCAACCATGGCAGTGGTAACACTTTGTTTGGCCATTGATGGAGACAAAACCAAGGTGCCAGAAATCCGCAACATGAGGGACATCGAAGAGGCTCTGCGAAAAATTGCATCGGATGCCAAGGTCTCCGACTGCCTACAAGGGGCTGAGATTCTTTGGACGCCCCAGGATAGCTCGGAGTCATTGACGTTCAGAGACGTTGTGGCAGACTACCCAGAGCTGAACAGTGTTTAATCAACAACAGTTGACTGAAAGGAACATGGCCGCATTAGGGGCCAACCACTGGTTAAACAAAGAGAATTGCATTTGCATTTGAAAAGCAATGCCCAGTACATGTAAAGAATAAAGGAATCTCAGATATACTACTCAGTCTTATATATTTGCAGCTATTGTACACATGCATACAAAGTTAGTTGTTCTCTCTTCCCAAGAGGCGCGTGTTGGTGGCGTGTGTCGATGTCACAATTCTCAAACCATTGCCATTCCATGACCAAAAATGTCGGCATTACTGGCGTTGGGGTTGTTGCCTTGCTGCATTTGAAGCAAACATTCCTGGTCTGGAGGAGGCATACCGTGCACGGCCATTGTCGATTGCTGGTGCTGTTGATGATGCCCCTGGATATTGGATTGATCCAAATATGCCTGCTGCTGTGGTTCAAATGGAACAAAATTGGGGGCTACGAAATCGGTGGGGTCATGGTGGTGGTGATGATGATTAAGGTGTCGTACATCCCAGCTAAAGCCCAACGAGTCCAAGAGCTGGACACGTTCGTCTGTCATGCAAGATTTCTTGCCCTTTAATTGCAATCGTCGTTGATGACGCTGAGTATGCACCCATCTTCCCAGCTTTGGGTTCTCAGGACAATGAGTTGGAACAAGACAATCTCCGTGCATAGCCTGTGAACAAAAGCGTCAGGATGACGGAGGACACATACATAAGAAAACAAAAATCAAGTTTCGTGGTACTTGCCTTGTATGCTTTCAATTCCTTCCAATGTTCCATCCATTTGTCGGCATGAACCGTAAAATGAAATCCTAGTTCCTCCAACTGTATCATTCGTTCCCCCACGAGGGGATTGGGTGGGTGGTGGCTGTGATGAGGTGAATGATCAGCCTGTTCTTTCAACATGTGTGCGTGGGTGGTACGCTGTCGATGCACCCACTCTGCAAAACTCGGGTCTTCTGCATACCCATGTGGAACCAAGCAATCTAAACGTCAAGAGAGAAGAGCATGCAGGGATTAGTGGTTCGGTACCATAACAAAATATATGTGTGGGTATATACTCAAAAAGAGGATAATCTCACCTCCGTGTTTCGCTTTGTAGTCCTTGAGCTGCTGCAATCTTGCTTCCCAGTCTTCCTTTTGGTGTTTGGTGCGATCTGTGGACCAGGCAAAGCCAAGTGCCTCCAGCTGTGCTATCCTTTCCGGGGTAAGGCTGCACCGTTTGGTCGGTTTGGAGCCTCCTTGCTCCTGCTTTTGATTTCGGAGGAATAGCTTGTACTGCTCCCTTGTATTGTGTACGAACTTTCCAAGCGACGGGTTTTCCTTGAACCGTATCGGAATGAGCAAATCGCCATGTTCGTCCTTGTAGTCTTGGAGCTGTTGGATGCGCTCTTCCCATGTCAGACGCGGGTGCGTGCAGCGAGATTTCCTGCGACGCTTTCCCTGAGGTTTCTCATCGTGGGAATGATCGTCCAGAGCGGCAGGATGATGATGATGATGATGTATCTACCGAATCCTCATGGCTTGTCGTCGCTGGACTGTCCGAATGATCACGAGGGTGATAATAGGCCTGTCCTGGATGGTGGCGCTTGTTATTGGCGGAAGCAAGGAGTGGCATGTCGTTGGACAACAGAGCCATTTGATGACTCGACGCATCTTGCGAGATTGCTGCAGTGTCGATTCCTTGCATGTGATTCATTCGACTGGCATGGTTATCATCGCAGATGATGGCCAAAGCATTCAACAAATCTCCTCCACCACTGTCGGCATCGGGGTTCTGGTTGAGGTTCTGATTGAGAAACTCAATGGCGTCGGGTATCCTTGTTTCTTCGCCGCAATCATCTTTGCTTTTCTCGTTTTCGTTCGAAGATGCACTCATCCCGAATATAGAAGTTGAGATATCCATGGTGTGTCAGTATCGTTTCTTGTTCTGCTGCTGTTGGCTGTTGCTCTTGTCGGTTTGCTGTGGTTGGTCGCTACACTTTTGCTTTGCTTCTATCGATCTCTGTGTGGAAGTCAAGTGAAAGATCGATTTGGGCGACCTGTGATGTCAAACCGAATCAAGGCCCGAAACCAGAACTCTGAAACCGAACCTGGTCCCGCCACCTCCCGACTCCTGCACCAAAATTAGGAATGCGACGAGACACCAATTGCTCGTTGAATGGTTTACATTACAATGGGTCCGGGCCGACTGAACGCAGCTACCAAGAGCTTCGCAGCTTCAATTGCCACAGGCTACGAGGCCCACCCATTGCTCTGATCACAGTTATCAAGACTTACCGTATCAGTACGGTAGGAAGCATTGATCTTTGGCAAAAAGCACGCAATCCAAACTCCATCGTTCGGGATCCAACAGTTCTGATGTGGCTGGCTAACACCTCTCCCATTCCTAGCTAGCTAGCTAAAACTAGACGGGATTTATTTTATCTATATCAAATCCTCCATCTACAAGTAAGGTGCCATGAGGGATATCGGTGCCATCGTACGTACGTGACAGAACCACATCCACTACTCACATTTATACTAAAATGTTGTCCATCATTTACCACTCTCTTGCTCTTCTTCCACCTACATTCCTTGGCTCCTTCGTTTTGTCTGTGTTTGCTTATTTACTTGGTAACGACAATTTGTCGTGGTCCCGCCATTGGCTCATTGGCTCTGTGGACGGCATATCTCCATAAAAAAATCACAGCCCGATAGGTCTGACAAAATAATTGAGCTTGTGGATCCATCCTCTTGAATGTCCATGGCAGCCAATGCTTGATCGACATCTTCCTTGGAGGGTTCTACCGACGTCAGACCCGGTAGCGAACCTAAACAAAATGATTTGAGACATTCGTAAACGACAGTTCGGTACAACACACATACGTACAAATACTCTTGTGTGACAATATCGATCGATACAACGAATACAATACAATACATTACATACCTCCAATGGTGACGACGGGAGCGCCTTGTTTTTGAGCCACGGCCACGACGGAACAAGCGGCACCGAAAGCGGTTCGTTCGGCATCGGTTAAAAAGGAGAGTGCTTCTCCCTTTTGACGAAGTGTTTTGGCGGCATCGACAGCCTTGGCAGCTGCCTCCAAGACAGGTGTCACAACCAGTATGGCTCCCGCCACGGCTCCTCCGGCCATTGGCGCGATGCCATACGGCGATCCTCCACCAAAACTGTAGGGAAAGGCGCCAGTCTTGGTTGGTGTCGTCTTGTCGGGCATGTCCACCATGGACTTGACAATATGAGGTGGGGAAAAGAAATGTGATTCATCTCCGGAAATGACCCGAGATGTTTGATCCCAGAATTTGTTTCGAAAGGCTTGATATTGTTCGGGTGTGAATAGGGCATCGAGAGCCGCCTTGTCAATCGGAGGTGCTCCCGGTTGGAATTGGCTTAGGTAGGCTTCCATATTTTCTGAAAGAATTCTCGATCCTTGTCCATGCCGTTGAATTTGAGTTTTTCGGCACCGACAGCAGCGGGTAAATTTTCCGGAAAGGTCTTACAGTAGTCCATCAAGTTGGCCTTGAATTCTTCGAGCATTTCCGCACTACTTGCGGAAGAGGACTCTTCGGTTCCCGTGGCAATGGCCTGGACCAAATCGGCAAAATTCTTTTTGGACAGGGCATACACCTCAGGCACAGCGGTTCCAGGTGCGTCAATGAGTCCCTTGACGGATTCCATGAGGAGCGTGTTGCCGGCATGATCACCACTGACGACTGCTACCACGGCGTGGCCTTGCGCCGACGCCAATTGAGTGGCGGCCATGCCCGATGCTTGACTGGCGCCGTACACCAACACGGTGCCCTTACTACTTCCACTAGCAATAGCTCGAACACCGGCGGCTCCTTGTGCGGCAAATCGCAACAACGCCAAGTACTCCAAGGGAATTGCATCAGCGGCGTTACCCAAATCCCCATACGTGCCATGCACCACACTGCCCGACGCATTGACCGCCACAGAGTCTTGCGTGGACAAGGTTTGTGCTACCGTGTCAATGGCATGTGCGACGAAACCGGTTGACGACTCGCCTGGAATTGATTCCACTTTTCGGAGTTGTAAGCAATGGGACCTTCGTCCTCCGTCTCGATGCCACCCACATATGGCAAGTTTGGCAAAATACTCTGAGAGACAGGAGACACCGCTGGCAACTTTTTGAGCGTCGCCAAGCCACGACGACTCGCTGTGGAGAGCAGTTTGCTACGTCCTCCGGAAAACATCATCTTCAATTGCTATAGCTAGAGTTGGCTGATAAAAGACAGAGTGCCGATGATGATGGATCAACAGCATGAGGGCTTTGGTAGTATTAGCGGTAGCCCAGTACGGACGCACACACCCCAACCTGTTACACCGTGTGCAGGAAGGGCACCCGTCAAATCACAGCTTAGCCGGATAAACTCGTCCACACAGCTTCGCCGGATAAACTCTTGTCGGCGCCAACGGACAAGTGCAAGACGGAGACACAATATGCGCTCTCGAACGATCACAAGTTGGATTGATTACAGCAAAGATCGCTGTTGGCTTGGCTTGAAGGTGTCGTCCATTGTACGACCTTTCAATCAAGTGTTGTCTTGTGTTGTGGGTGAGGAGCTCTTTTGCTAGCTACCGGAGCTAGTCTGTTCTCTTTTGTTTGGAATCTGGCGTTGGTTGAGAGTCGAAGTGGAGAATAGCGAGCCGCTGAGCAGAAAGGACGATAATATTGTGGATTTGGATTTGTTTCTGCTGTGCTGCGATCGTTGGGAGCTTCTTTCTGGATCCTCAAGACGCAAGGCAAGACGGTTGGGTGATTTGCATTGCCTGAAGGAGCACTTTTGCTTTGTTTGAATGGCTGGGAACACAATTACTTTGTGTAAATTGAATGTTGTATTATTAGACAGCACAGTCATTGAAACTGTCGGCCTCTTTTTCTCTGTTGCAAGCTCGGATACGGCATCTTTTTTGTGACCCCAAGAAGACTCGATCATGTCGTCGACCATCCTGTACAAGTTCCGGTCGGGGACGACCTTTGAAGCCTTGCCGCTGCCTGGATCAGCGGCGCGGCTATTTGATGTCAAGAAGGCCATTGTGACTGCCAAGAAATTGGATGCTGGGACAATGGACTTTGACCTTTCTGTGCGTAACGCGGCGACAAATGAAGAGTACACGGATGAATCCATGTTGCTGCCCCGAGGGACTCGTCTCGTGGTTCAGAGATTGCCCGCTGCTAAAGGACAAGGATTCTTGGCTCGCATGGCTCGCAATCAATACGGAATGCCTCCCAGTGCTCCAAGTGCGCCTGGAAGTGGTGGGGCTCCCAGTGGATTTTACGAAATTGATTCGCGAGCCAGAGATGACGACGAGGAATTTGTTTCGAGTGAAGATCAAGAATTGGCGTTGCTCAACGCGGCCAGAGACACGGCCTCGGCGAATCCAGCTCCCGGTGGGTTGAGACCCGCCACCACTGGCAATTTTGGGCGAACAGCAGGTCAAGGACCTCCACAGCATCACCATCAGCACCAAGGCGGCCAGCAACGTCAAATGAAACAGAGACAAAATGCAGACCCAGAGATCCGGGAACAGGAGAAGAAATTGGTGGGACGAAAGAGGGCCACGGGAATTCCCAGGACCTTTCTGAATCTGAGCGCCCCGCCCACGACGGAAGCCAAGGAGGGCGAAGGAGAAGAGAACAATGCCCCTCTCCTTCAGCCAAACACTCTTGGTTTTGAAGAATTGAAGCAACGAGCTGGAGGTCAATCAGAGAACGCTTCTGGCACCAAAAGGGATTTAGACTACGCGCTAAAAATCACTGCTACTACAGTTCCTGATTATTTGCAATGTGCCCTCTGTCACAGCGTGGCTTTGACCGCCATGTTTTTAACGTGGGACCCTGAAGGACGTACGACCTGCGAAAAATGCATCAGAGATGCGCTGGCTCAAAATGGATTTCGTGACCCGCTCACTGGGATGGAAGGCATTAGTCCCGATGACTTGAGACCAAACCCCGGTATCCGCAAAGCTGCCGA